GGAGTTTTCCTGACCCTTTTCATCCGTTTTTTTAAATTGAGGCAAAAGTCACATCACTTTTCATTGAAGTAAAACTAACCATTTTAAAGTGTACCCCTTCATCAATTTGTAAATTAGCTTTTAGAATGTTTCAAATTATTTTTAGAATGTTTCAAGCTACTTATATCTAATCAAATAAAATATTTTAAAAGATTAGGAGTGAGAAACTTGCCCTACACAAGACGTGAATTAGTGAAATAGAGTATCAATATTCTCTTTCCCAGAGAGAATTTAATTTATCTGAATGAATTCAGATTGATTTCTTTTAGCATGCCAAAACACAGAATTCTGTATATGGTGGGTTGTATTATGAATTGTATTTGAATGAAACAACAGATGTTGGCAAGGATGAGGAGAAAAGGGACTGCTTACACACTGTTGGTGGGAATGCAAACCAGTTCGGCCTCTGTGGAAGATGGTGTGGTCTAAAAACACTGGAAATTGGCCTCCCGTTACCCAGCAACCTTCTGGGAATATACCTGGAGTAACTTAAATCACTCTACAAAAAAAATACCTGCACATGCATGTTTATACAGCATTGTTCACAACAGGAAAAACATGGAACCAACCATGCTGCCCATCGAAACTGAACTGGATTTTAAAATGTAGTACATATACACGATGGAATATTATGCAGCCATAAAGAAGAACAAAATTATGGAATGTCACAGTAACTTGGGTGGATTTAGAGTCTATCACTCTGTGATCTATCACAGAAGCAAAGAATTGAGTGCCACATGTTCTCACTCATAAGCGGACCCTGAACATTTGCCATAATGCAATAAGTAAGGGATTGGCAGTAATAGAACACATAACATCCAGAAGGGTACCTGATCTCAAGCCAGGTGAAGTGAGGACCAAAGGGAGGCCCAACTTTACCTGTATGATGGCCACCTGTATACCTAAATCTAAATTGTACCCATCTTTAAAGTTAAAAAAAAAATTTAGAAAAGACTCTATTTTCTGAATGCTTCTGAAAATAAATATATAGATGAATTAATTAATACATTGTATTTGAATGAATCTGATAAACTACATTTGATATATTTCTTGCATGAATGTAAATACACAGAACAACAGAAATAAAAACAAAGCAATATGATGAAGAATCATCTGCAAGCATTCTGTTTTATTTTACTTTTAAAACCCATGCTGTAATACTATAAGAAAGGGACTGGCAGTAGTTGGAAACTTTTTGTGAGTCCTGCCTTACTTAAGTAGTCTCTAACAGTTCGAGAAAATTCTGACTCATTTTGTGGTATTAAAAAGAAAACACAAAGCAATTTTTAAAAAATTGTTGAAGCAGTTTGAGGGCATGAGTTAACTGGGCAAAAATCGGAACTATAAAATCAGCTGTGAAGATAGATTTTCTATATGATCAATTCAGTCATAGATCTCGTTAAAATTCTTTAAAACTTTTTTATTTTTGAAATAGTTTATTTTTTGAAAACTACAACATATTAATGCACATATTTATGAGCAACTAGGCTATCTCCATATAGTACCTCTGTGTTTTAGGAGTGGCATTTGCTGCAAGTTAAACATTATTTTTTTCTGACTGGGCATGGTGGCTGACACCTATCATCCCAGTGCTTTGGGAGGCAGAGGTGAGAGGATTGCCTGAGCCTGTGGGTTTGGGACCAGTCTGGGCAACTTGGTGAGACCTCATCTCTACAATAAATAAAAAAATCAGCCAGGTGTGGTGGCATGCATCTGTAGTTCCAGCTACTTGGAAGGGTGAGGTGAAAGGACTACCTAAGCCCAGCAGGTCGAGGTTGCAGTGGCCATGAGTGTGCCTGGGCGACAGAGTGAGACTCTTACTCAAAAAAAAACAAAAAACAAAAAACCGCACCAAAGGGAAAAAAGCAAACAGCCCCTTTAAAAAGTGGGCAAAAGACATGAATAGACACTTCTGAAAAGAAGATATACGGGCAGCCAACAGACACATGAAAAAGTGCTCAGCCTCACTCATCATCAGAGAAATGCAAATCAAAACCACATTGAGATACCACCTAACCCCTGTAAGAATGGCCATCATTAATAAAACAAACAACAACAGATGCTGGTGGGGATGTGGAGAAAAAGGAATGCTCTGCACTGCTGGTGGGAATGCAAACTAGTGCAACCTCTCTGGAAGACAGTCTGGAGATCTCTGAAAGAACTAGAAATTGACCTTCCATATGACCCAGCAATTCCCCTATTGGGAATATACCCAGAGAAACTCAAATTATTCTACAAGGAAGATACCTGCACACGTATGTTTATTGCATCTCTATTCACAATAGCAAAAACATGGAACCAACCATGTTGCCCATCAAAGCTGGACTGGATTAAAAAAATGTACATATACACAATGAAATATTATGCCGCCATAAAGAACAACAAATATGTGGACTTTGCAGCAACCTGGATGGATTTGGAGTCGATCATACTCAGTGATTTATCACAGAAACAAAGAACAGAGTTCCACATGTTCTCACTCATAAAAGAACCTTGAACAATTATAATGCTATATGAAAGCAATTGGAAGTAGTGGGAAACTGTCAGGGGAGGAAGGTGGGATTGGCAGTTGAGGCAAACTGCTAGGGGAGGGAGGGGCATACCTCATTAATGGGGGCACCTGCATGATCAATGGTTGTATACCTAACCCTGAATTGCATCCCACATCTTTACAATAAAAAAAAGGAAAAAATAATTTTTTTCCTTGGCAATTTCATCCCTTTTTTCCCCCCTCAGTTTGAGCCGTTCACACTTAAAACACATTAGCTAGGGAAAGAAATGAAAGGGTTAACAAGGACCACCAGAAACCTCTGGGAGCCTCCCAGAAACTTAAGAAAAAAGTTCTGTCTTGTTTATAATGAAGAAAACCTGTCTCAAGGACACCCTATAATTCTTAGGAATTCCCTATAAACATCAGCAAGAAAAGTGTTTTCAGCTTTAATAATCAGCAGTAGCAGATTGAATCTTTAAACCTAAGCGTTGGTTCTCTATCAAGAGTTATGTGCAATAGCTTTGATATTTTAGGTACTGGTAGTTTTTATTATGTTTTCCTCCACCCACAAGTTTAATTTCTTTTTTATTGTTGTTTTTTTTTTTTTTTTTGAGTTGGAGTTTCACTCCGTCGCCCAGACTGCAGTGCAGTGGCCGCTCCCGGCCACCGCAGCCTCAACCCACTGGGCTCTGGCAATCCTTCCACCTCAGCCTTCCGAGTAGCCGGAATTACAGGTGCGTGCTACCACGCCCGGGTGATTTTTGATTTATTGTAGAGATGAGGTCTCGCTGCCCAGGCGGGTCTGGAACCCGCGGGCTCAGGCAATCCACTCACCTCTGCCTCCCAAAGGCGCGGGATTACAGGCTGAGCCACCGAGCCCGGCTAGTTTAATTTCTTAAAGTTTTTTGTTTGTTTGTTTGTTTGTTTTGTTAGAGACAGGGTTCTCATTCTGTCACCCAGGCTGGAGTACATTGGTACAGTCATGACTCAATGCAGCCTCAAACTCATGGGCTCAAATGATTCTACCACCTCAGCTCCTGAATAACTGCACCTACAGTCGCATGCCACCATATTCAGCTAATTTTTTTCATTTTTTGAAGAGATTGGCGGGGGGGGGGTCTCGATATTTGGCCCTGGCTGGTCTTGAACTCCTGGGCTCAAGCATTCCCCTGCCTCAGCCTCTGAAAGCACTAGGATTCCAGGTGTGAACCACCTCTCCCTGCCCTCAATTATTAGATTTTTAGAATTATTTTCTTTGCATCAGACTGTCACCAAAGTTTATTTGCTAGCAAAGCTGGTTTTCCTACAGACTCATAGATATGGTTTAAATGAAAGTTGATAGAAACTCTGATCAGCGGTTGCTCAGTCAAAAATAAATTTTGTGTATGTGTTGTATTTGCATCAATTTTGGTCAGCTGAACTGACAGAGCTGGACTAAAATATTTTCCTGCCTGTTAATCAAGGCCACACAGACAAAGCTCAAGGAAGGATGACCCCTGCCTCAGGAAGTTTTGAATCAACTGCTATTTATAACCAGTATACAGTAGAACTTGAGATCAGGTCTTTACTCAGTCTGTTGGAAAAGTTTTCTGCCAAATTTTACATTTGAGGAAACAGTTTATGGGCCTAACTGAGTGAAGCCTCTCTGTGAAAGGAAGGAATGTGACAGAGGCTGTAAGTGTGCTGATTTGGGTCAAGGGTGTGGCAGCAGAAATGTGGGAAGTTCAGTCATCAGTGACAAAATAGTTTATGACATTTTAAAGCAACTGATAGTTAATAAGCACCTTGGGTTGTCTTTAGTGCTGTTAATAGTAAAGTTGAAATATGAAATATGAGTATGTGATAGGCTAATATTATCAATCAGTGTAGGACAGGAGGAAGAAGTTAGCTATTGGTGTGCTTCCAGACTAACTGGCTTTTGCTGTCGGTATATACATTAACTTTTTGGTTATTTGAGATGTGTTTCTGTATATATGTGCTCTTTATAGTACTGCATTGTCCTTGTTTCATTAAGAAAAGATTTCATAAAGAATTAATTTCACTAACCAAGTGCAGTGGCTGACTCCTATAATCTAAGCACTTTGGGAGACTGAGGCAGGAGGATTGCCTGAGCCTAGGGCTCAAGACCAGCCAGGGCAACTTGGCGAGACCTTGTCTCTACAATAAATAAGAAATTAGCCAGGTGTGGTGGCACGCATCTGTAGTTCCAGATGGAAGACTGAGGCAGAAAGATCGCCTGAGCCCAGCAGGTCAAGGCTGTGGTAGCAGTGAGCGTACCACTGCACTCCAGCCTGGGCAACAGTGTAAGACCCCGACTCAGGAAAAAAAAATTATTACTAAATGATTTCATGCTGCTATGTGTAATCTCTTATAAAACCTCATTCTGCATAACTTTAGGAAATTACCTATGGCAGAACATTAAAGCTGACAATTTGAAAAATACCACAAGTAATGTTTTCTCAATATTATGTTACCATCTTAGAAGTACCTTTATGGAGTTGAATTACTTAATAGAAGACAGGTACATAGGTAGTGTATGTGAATGTATTTAGGAATAGGTGGGCAATGTTTTAGTGCAGTTTTAAATTAGGAAATTATAAAACTGTGTTAATATATTTTTATCTCATCTTAATAGGATTATTCAAGATAAAGTTGTAACCATTTCCAACAAGGATCAATGATCAAAATTGTTCTCTTTGAAAAGAGATTTCCAGGTTAAACATGAGAGGAAAATACCGGAATCATTTGGATTTGGACAGGATAAAGAATACAGTATTTCACAGTTAATTGTCATGGAACCTTTGTAAGATTCATCACTCGTCATGCATCCACCTGGGAACATGGATGTTGGTTTTTCTCGTTCTGCTGTTCAGACGCTATCAAGAAGCCACTGCAAAAACATCAAACAAAAAATTTCTCAGTGGGAAGGAAGGGCTAATGGAATATCTAATCCAGAAAAGTGGCGTCCAAAGGACTTTGGAGTGAGATATAACTGTCACCAAGAGATTCTTCCTAAGAAAATTCCTGTTGTGGAAAGCAAGGGCAAAAATTTGGATGTAACTAGTTCTCAAAATGTGGGTCTGGATATCAATGAAGATGCCAAAAGCCATGATCAAAGTAAGGATGAAAGTGAGAAACATGAATGTGATGATACACGCTTCTTTCCAAATGAGTCAGAATCCAGTTGGGTGTGTTCTCGGGTCAAACACATGAAAAGCTGTAAAGAAGTTGTTTTGGATCCAGAGACTTCATTACCTCCAGGAAACTTTTATACCTCACAAATATTGTGGAAGAAAATAGAAGCACTTCCCCCAGATAAAGTCTTAAATTTGGCTTTAGAACATTGTGATTCTTCAGGAAAAAAACTAAATTTCAGAGTTCTGGATAGCTCATGTGGAATAACCAAGAGCTTAGAAAATATTTACTCTGAACCCGAGGGGCAAGAATGTGGACCTTCTATAAATCCTTTGCCAAAACCTCGTAGGACATTCAGATATTTATCTGAATCTGGTGTGGGGCCATATAAAGAAAAAAACTATGACAAAAAGTACTGTGAAAGTCATTCTTGTGCAGAATCTTCTTTGGCCTCTTCTCAGGAAACTGAACCAAAGAAATGTGGTGGAAAAATCAGAGGAAGATCTAAAAGGTATGTTTTTATCCTATAAATAAGGATTGTCAATATTTTCCTTACAGAATTATTGAGCTGCTTTTTCCTTTTCAAGCCAATTTCCACTCCAGGCTCAGGTTGCAGCTCTAATTTGAACATACACATATTGATTAATGTGAAAGGAAAATAAGAGGAAAAAGTAGAAGTGTGGTAATATCTAAGACAATCTCTGACACAAAAGCATCAGAAAACCTTCCATTTTATATCTTTAAGGATTTGTAGGGAAGCAGGTACATTCTTCTACTTAATTTAGGGCATGTTGGCCTCAGCCCCACTTTCTATTAGGGAATGAACTTAATAAAGGAACCCAGTGAAGTCCATGAATGTGATTGGTTAAAAGCCTCCAATTTTCTCATGGTGTATATAGGGCACCAGCCTAGTTTATTATTCTTAGATCTCTGATAAAACAGCTTTGTAATTTTGCAAGCAGGTTCTTTACTTACTGATTTCTGTCTACCCTACCAATTTAAAGATTAGAGTTTTGAATGATATAACCTTAAAATGTATCTCCTTTCTTAAGGAAGTCTTTTGAATTTGAGGATATTCAGCACTTTCGAAATCGGAACTCCCAGAAGATTCATGAAGAACTTGGAAGAAATTCTGGTTCAGCACTTTATTACACACAGTCTGAGGACAATATCTATGAGGATATCATATGTAGGTATCCACAACTTTACAATTAAATTTAATGATTATCTATTTGGTGAAGCCCTTAATTATAGGATGGCATTTTCTTTTACAATCAAATATATCTTGCTAGGTTTTTTCTTTTTAATATGGAAAACTTTGGCGTATAAATTCTTTTATTCTTGAAGGAATTTTATAACTTGTGTAATGGACTGCTCAATTCAGAAGTTGATGTTTACAGCATAGTATTCTGAGAATTCTAGCTCGGTTGCACGCCTAAGTAGTTTATAAGTTTAAAGTGTGTTGATTCTGAGAACCACATCCCTATAGCAGTGTAGAATAAGAAAACTGAACACAGCCAGTTTATTTGTTTTGCTAGGTGTAGTCACTTTTCCATTTAATTATGTTCCTTTGAGCATTTTTTTAATTATTATTCTTCAAGATCCCACCAAAGAAAATCCATATGAAGATATTCCAGTGCAGCCTTTACCCATGTGGAGATCCCCTTCAGCATGGAAGCTACCACCCCCTAAAAGTGCTTTCAAAGCACCCAAGGTATAACCAAAGAACTAATTGAAGAAAACATATTTATGACTTCTACAAAAGGTTAAGATGGTTTAACTGGGACCAAAGCTAAGAGGTACTGAAATACAGGTCTTAATGTTGGCGGTGGTTTTTTGTTTGGTGTGTGTGTGTATTGTATTTTTTTTTTGCATTTCATAGCTTTTTGCTTATTTTGTTATTGTTTTTATTGTTGTTTTTAGCACTTCAAAAAATTTGAATATGTCTTTAGGCCACCACGAACTTTTTAGTTCATTATAACTCCCACTGTCCCCTATTCGTGTCACATCAGCCTATATGGCCATCAATTACCTGCCTGGTCCCTGAAAGCATGTGAGACCCCTGGCAGCAAAGGCTCCCTTGAGTGAATGAAGACTATGAGCTGTTGTTTTCTGGCAATCTGATGACATTGTAATTTTGGATTCGAAACTTCTTTACAAGTGGAAAAGATAAGATATAAGATAAATATTTTGCTGGAATAGTTTTGGCTTTGTATGAGAACACTGGCATGGACTAGATGATCTTACCCTGACCAATACATCTTCTCCTGTTTTAGCTTCCTCCCAAACCCCAATTCCTTCACCGGAAGACCATGGAAGTGAAGAATTCACAAGCATATATACGCTCAAAGCTCGTGAAGGATACCACTTTGCCTGTCACTTTAACTGAGTGGAAGCTTTTCCGAGCTGGAGAAGTTGCAAACAAAAAAAGGAAAAATCTTCCAAGGGTGAGGACTCCAGTCCTTTCATTCTTCGACTCTTACTTCAGCATTTCCATAAATGAGCATAAATAAACTTTAGACTGAAATGAAAGGTTAGAACTGAACTACTGGGATTAAAAGACTTGGAAAGCAGCATAAAGTTTTAAATTTTTGCTTATGTGAGAAAAGTGCACGAATGGCTTTTGTCAGAGTTTTTGTTAATTGATTTGTAAAATTGATATTACATGGAGGACTTCACTTTAGTCCCCTCAGCTCTCATTAAAATCAGCTGCCTGTTTCAAGGCAGCACCAGAACCTAATATACAAGGGCATTCCATCAAGCTGGCTTCAGTGTTGTTCTAATTCACTCATTTGTATAATTGCCAAAGTGAGTTCAGTTTTGTACTTGAGTTTACAGATGTTCAGTACTGACAAAATATGTCATTAATTTGGGGCAAAAATTTCCATTCAGAGAACGAAAAAGTAAATTCCACTGTTACTTAGGAATAGAAATTATCAGCAGTCATACTAAATAAATGACTTCTCTTTCAAGGAAGAAAAGGCAGTAGTCTGTAAATTATCTCGACTAGAAGCATTGCAACCAAAATGAAACTGAGATTACTTGTAGACAGACATATTTTCTTTTAGGAGAAATTACATGAAATACTTTACATGAAAATATTTTAAAACTCTCTGCGTTACTTTGTTCTTCTGTGATGCAGGGTGTTTTCAGGATTGACAAAATACTATTGCAGATACCATGCAGTAGTGAAGAAATCAGATCATTTAAATATGATTCTTTCCTTAATCCCATCTGAATTGGCTATATGTATTCATTTAACACATAATCTTTGCATCTGATTTTAACATTAAACAAAAGTCACAGTTTTTTCCTCGTTTAGTAGCTGTTTATCGAATCCTTGGGAAACTTTCCATTCCACAATCGCTTTAATTCTTCTGGTCTGTTTCCTGCCCCTCCCTCTTTAATGTGGGAAACGTTAAAGACACACAGATTTTAAAATGCTCTAAACTGATCTCTCTCAATGAAAAACAATCTTTAACTGTTTATGCTCCTGTGTATGATGAGGAATATTTAAAAAAACAGAACTTTAAAGAATGGCCAGGCATCTTTCAGGAGCTCTCCCGTCGGATGGCTTACGTTGCCACAACAGAGCAGCTTCCCACAAACCCAGAAACAGCAAATCGTGTGTTCACGGGTAGAAGCATGCAGACACCTGAGGAACTGCATTTAAGATGTGGCTCTTAAGGCCGGGCGCAGTGGCTTATGCCTATAATCCCAGCACTTTGGGAGGCCGGGGTGAGAGGATTGCCTGAACCCATGGGTCCGAGACCAGCCTAGGCAACTTGGCGAGACCTCATCTCTACAATAAATCAAAAAGTTAGCTGCGCATGGTGGTGTGTGCCTGCAGTTCCAGCTACTTGGAAGGCTGAGGTGGAAGGATCACCTGAGCCCAGCAGGTTGAGGCTGCAGTGGCCGTGAACATGCCACTGCCCTCGGCCTGGGTGACAGAATGAGATTCCAACTCAAAAGAAAAAAGAAAAAAAAGATGTGGCTTTTGGCATGGTGTTAACCAATAGTTAAGAATTGTGGACTGTAGAGTTTAATGAGACTCAGGTATTGATTCTATGCCTCAGTATTTTATGTATTAGAATCTCAAGTATTCACAATTTGTTCTCAGAAAGAGATAAATGATCCAACTTTTTCTGTCTTAATATTTTTTCAAAGGTTTTCAGAGCAGTAGGGAGAAAAAAAAATAATGATGAACTCTTGACTTTTAGGCAGGAACATGCTGTTAGCATTTCTACCTGTGATCCTCCTTGGATTAAGTCTTTTTGGGATGTCACCTATGTGATACAAATGTTGGCTTTGGAGTATCTTCAGGAACAACATTCCATCAGAAAAGCAGTTTTCATTTGTTTCCCCTTTGATGACTCCAGCTATCCCTGGAAGGAAAACTGCTTCATAATTTGAGATCCCTGACCTAGTCCATATGCCTCTTCCCCACCCGTCCTTTTCTCCCCTACTATGGAAACCGGTGTGGGATTGTTCCCTAGAGCACATTTATAGTGTCTTTATTGTTTGTGTCAAGGGTGTACAACAGTATGGTTTCTGTCTTTTTTTTTTTTGAGTCGGAGTCTCACTTTATCTTCCAGGCTGGAGTGCAGTGGCATACTCCCAGCCACCACAACTTCGACCTAGTGGGCTCAGGTGATCCTTCCACCTCAGCCTTTCAAGTAGCTGGAACCACAGGCATGCGTCACCATGCCCGGCTAGTTTTTTTGATTTATTGTAGAGACGAGGTCTCACTATGTTATGCTGGCTGGTCTTGAATCCTGGGCTCAGACAATCCTCTTGCCTCTGCCTCCCAAAGTGCTGGGATTACAGGCGTGAGCCACTGTGCCTAGCTTTCTGTCATTTCTTAGGAAGAATATTCTACAATATATCCCACAACTTGAAGGTAAATGTAGACCCATCTTCATAGTTCATGAGTGAATTTTACATTTATCACTTTATCTCTTATTTTTAGAACAACTCCCTTTACTTTATAATATCTGAATATACTTTGAGTTATACTTTTCAAATGACAAAATAATGATGCTATTCTTGGTCATTATGTACCCCAAAATTGTGTACTCCTATACATGTTTCCTTATAGTTCCTAACAATACCCTTTTATTTGGGGACTCTCTTATTTTTTTCTAATGCTAATATTTAAAAATACTGCCAATGTCTCACTTGAATGGCAGCTACAAAAATCTTTAAGAGAACAAAGTCAGCCAAAAATGTGGTAATAATCTACATATTGAAAACACATGTTTGTTACTTTTTTTTTTTTTTTTTTTACACTGGACTGATTCACTGCCTGTTGATTGCCAGGAGTGCTAGAGAAACAAGGACAAAAGAGAAAAACAAGAGTATTTTTCTCAAGCAACTTTGTTGGTTGTCATCTTATGTAATGTTCTTAACAATTGTATTTCTAAGCATTAAATATGTTCAATCAGGATTAATACTTAAGATAAAAGTACATATAGAAAAATGTATTAATTCCTCTTTATAAAACTGTCTGTTGATCAACTCTGAATCTTTCTTCTTTTTTGCCCCAGTCTGTGTCTCTGTCTCCCTCACACACACACACCTCTCCAAGCAGCAAAGAAAGATTTCTAATGAGTAATGCTTATGAAACAAAGAGAAGCTATTATATAACATTTTAAAAACAAATGGTCTGGATTTTCTTGCTTGACATTTAGATTGATGAACAGAAGGAGAAAAAAAGCATAGTTTTTGTACATGAGCATATTTGACTCTCTTATTTTTGTGACCCGTTTCTAAAACAAATTGTAGTGTTAGCACTTCTGGTAGCAAAGAACTATTCCCTTTGATAAAAGACTGTCAAAGTGTGATTATTCTTGCCTTGGGAAGAATTCCTGGGAGCAGAAATAACCGAGCCTCACCCTGCCTTCCAAGCAAATGAGTGTTCCACTTCCTACTCTCGACAAGTGAAAACTTGAGTTTAATAGTAAAGGCTTGGTCACTGTATGAAGGAGAGTAGCCACATTTCCTGCAAGTTGTGACATGGGATGACAAGGAATCTAAGAGCCTGTGTTGCCCTCATCTGATCCCTTTCCCACTTCCCTTACCTATGTTATATGGAGTTAGTATTAGAACAACATATTATCTAACTAAAGATTGTCATTTGAGATTCAGAATTGAAAAATGTGAAGGCTTCTGCTTATAAAATGAATTTTGGATGAGAATCACTAATAAATTAATGTCATCAAGCCGTAAAATTTGTGCATGCAGGTTTTAACTTATATTTTTCTGGTCTTTGTTCAGCTTGTATTGAAAATAGAGGACATATTTGAATCTAAGAGAGGGAAGAAGAGGGTAAAGATTCACCCTTATACTGGAAAAGAAGTACCTCCCACAAAAGGTAAAAATTGTGTTCTTTTAGCTATTTATAGCTGTCAGCATATAGAAGGGAGAATCATTTATATAACTAACGTTTGATGTGTAATACAATTTTTGGCTTGCTTTCCTGTCTATCCCACTTAAGTATAAACTTTTTTAGGATAAGGGATCATTTCTCAAATCCCTTTTATTTAATTCTGTGCCAAGTAATAACTATTGGATGAATAAGTACATAAATAAATAAATAGAAACCATCTGCTGCCCAGCATGGTCAGAGAAAAGAAAGAAAAATTATTATAAAACAATGAGACTACTTTTTATAGGCAGATTGAATCATTATTTGGCAGTTGTACTTTGTTTTATAATCATTTATCAGTGTGACTTTCAGGGGAGATATGAAAACATTAGTTATATATAGACTGAAGATATGTGGCACTCAACTTGTAGTCATTTAATAAATCTAGTAGCTTTATCCTTCAAATACAGATATAGATAAAATGTATACTGTGTTAATTAAGAAAGTTTCAACATTCATAATGAATTATTAGAATTTTCTTTTTTTTTTTTTTTTTTTTTTTTTGAGTTGGAGTCTCACTCTCTTGCCCAGGCTGGAGTGCAGTGGCACACTCATGGCCACTGCAGTCTTTACTTGCTGGGCTCAGGCAATCCTTCCACCTTAGCCTTCCAAGTAGCTGGAACTACAGGTGCACACTACCATGCCTGGCCGATTTTTTGATTTATTGTAGAGACGAGGTCTCACCAAGTTGCCCAGGCTGGTCTCAAACTCCTGGACTCAGGCAATCCTCTCACCTTGGCCTCCCAAAGTGCTGGGATTACAGGCTTGAGCCACCGTGTTGGTCTTAGAATTTTCGTAATGGCTGGGTGTGGTGGCTCACACCTGTAATCTCAGCATTTTGGGGAGTCAAGGCAGGAATATTGCTTGAGGCCTAGAGCTTGAGACTAGTCTGGGCAAGATTAGTGAGATCCCATCTTTGCAAAAATAAAAACAATTAGCTGGGCATGGTGGCATGCACCTGTAGTCCTAGCTACTCAGCAAGCTGAGGCAGGAGAATTGTTTGAGTACAAGAGTTCAAGGTTACAGTGAGCCATGACTGCACTTCAGCCTGGGTGACAGAGCAAGACCCTGTCTCAAAAAAAAAAAATCTTAAAAACTCATGCAAGGCCAGGCACGATGCTCACACCTATAATCCCAGAACTTTGGGAGGCCAAGGTAAAAGGACTGCCTGCGCCCATGGCTTCGAGACCAGCCTGAGCAATGTGATGAAACCTCATCTCTACAATAAATCAAAAAATTAGCTGGGCATGGTGGTGCGTGCCTGTAGTTCCAGCTACTTGGAAAGCTGAGGCGGAAGGATCGTCTGAGACTAGTAGGTCGAGGCTGCGGTGGCTGTGAGCATGCCACTGCACTCCAGCCTAGGCAACAGAGTGAGACTCTGACTCAAAAAAAAAAAAAACACATGCAAGATTCTTAACTTGGTTGTCTGGTAAAGAATATGTAGAATTTAGCAGTTTTTGTTTATAAGATTCATAAGGCCGGGCTCGGTGGCTCAGGCTGTAATCCCACGCTTTGGGAGGCCAAGGTGAGTGAATTGCCTGAGTCCATGGGTTCAAGACCCACCTGGGCAACTTGGCGAGACCTCATTTCTACAATAAATAAAAAAAATTAGCTGGGCGTGGTAGGGCTCGCCTATAGTTCCAGCTACTCGGAAGGCTGAGGTGGAAGGATCGCCAGAGCCCAGCAGGTTGAGGCTGTGGTGGCCGGGAGCGGCCACTGCACTCCAGTCTGGGCGACAGTGAGACTCCAACTCAAAAAAAAAAAAAAATCTGTTCTACATTGTAACAACCTAAAATAACAACTTAAAATAACTGAAAATAACAACTTAAGTTACAACTTAAGTCTCTTTTTACTCTGTGATTAAAATCAACTGGTCACCACTTTTAATGTGAGTTTTCATGTCTCTGAAGGCAATTATTAAAACATGTGTCAAGGCCAGGCACTGTGGCTCACACCTATAATCCCAGCATTTTGGGAGGCCAAGTCAAGTGGATTGCTTGAGCCCAGGAGTTCAAGACCAGTCTGGGCAACATGGCAAGAGCTTGTCTCTACAGAAAAAAATTTTAAAAATCAGCCAGGCACAGTGGTGCACACTTGTGGTCCCAGCTACTCGGGAGCCTAAGGCAGGGTCCCTGAGTCCAGAAAGTGAGACTGTGGTGAGCCGTAATCACGCCAGCATACTCCAACCTGAGTGATAGAGTGAGACTGAAAAGAAGAGAAATTGTTTCTAACTTCTCTGGGAAGGAAATACTTTTGGATATTATTTTTAATAAAAGCTATAATTTATTGAAGTAATAGTTTCTTTATGTATTTTATCTTACATATAAAGGAGGTAGGGGATTATACTAACTTTACAGAGAAGGAAGCATCAATTTTCCCATAAATCTTTATTTTTAGCAGTCTAGTTATCTCTTCTCCATGTATTTCCTTATCCACAACAAGGGTATTGTCAAAGGTTTTTTATTTGTGTAATTTAGAACTAGATACAGAAAAGAAAACTGGTGCCAGATACTGTGCTGGATGCTTTCCAGTGCTTTATTATTAATTTTCTATAGAACAGTGTAGCAAATGTTATTGTCACTGTTTTATAGATAAGGAAATACATTTAAAATTGCAAATTATGTAAGACATTAAGACATCGGGGCCAGGACAAGTGCTTGCAAAACATTAGTCTGTTGATAACTACTCTCCAAATATTTTTTTTTTTTTTTTTTGAGTTGGAGTCTCACTCTGTCGCCCAGACTGGAGTGCAGTGGCCGCTCTTGGCCACCACAGCCTCGACCTGCTGGACTCCGGCAATCCTTCCGCCTCAGCCTTCCAAGTAGCTGAAACTACAGGCGTGCACTACCACGCCCGGCTAATTTTGAATTTATTGTAGAGATGAGGTCTCGCCAAGTTGCCCATGCGAGTCTCAAACCCGTGGGCTCAGGCAATCCACTCACCTCAGCCTCCCAAAGTGCTGGGATCATAGGTTGAGCCACCGAGCCTGGCTAAGTATTTCTAAATGGATTATTGCCAATCCCTTTGTTTGTGTGTTTATGCCTTATGGTTAGGAACATTTTAGTAACTTTGACAAAGTTTTTGAAGAACCAAATCTTTTTTAAAAAACCTATCAGACCTGGTGCGGTGGCTTATACCTGTAATTCCTGCACTTTGGGAGGCGGAGGCGAGAGGATTACCTGAGTTCAGGGGTTCAAGACAAGCCTGGACAACTTGGTGAGACCTCATCTCTACAATAAATAAAGATATTAACCAGGGGTGGTGGTATACGCCTGTATTTCCAGCTACTTGGAAGGCTGAGGTGGAAGGATCACTTGAGCCCAGCAGGTCGAGGCTGTGGTGGACGTGATCATGCCACTGCACTTCAACCTGGGCAGCAGAGTAAGACTCCAACTAAAAAGCAAAAACAACTGGGGTCGGTGGCTCAGTCTGTAATCACAGCACTTTGGGAGGTCAAGGCGAGTGGATTGCCTGAGCCCGCAGATTTGAAACCAGCCTAAGCAACTTGGCAAGATCTCATCTCTACAATCAATCAATCAATCAATAAATCAATCAATAAAATCAGCTGGGCATGGTAGAACATGCCTATAGTTCTGGCTACTTGGAAGGCTGAAACAGAAGGATCGCTGGAGCCCAGCAGGTCGACGCTGGGGTGGCCGTGAGTGTGCCACTGCACTCTCTGGGCACTGAGTGAGACTCCAACTTAAAAAAAAAAAAACTATCAATGTTGAAAAGAAAAAAAAATCTTTAACTTCAAGCCAACTTTGGCATCAAAAAAAACAAAACAAAACAAAACACCAGTCCTACATTGCAACCCCTCCCTAAAAGTTTTTCTTTGCACGACTCAGAGAAAATAAACATTTCCCAGCCTCTGTGACCAACTCTTCCCGTGTACCGGAAGTGTTCCTCTCATGCCTGAGAAGCTCCCAGCTCTGTCTTCACAGTTCTTGGATTTTCATTTTTCTCCTTAAGCTTTTGTTTGTATATCAACAATGCCTAATAGAACTAGATAATTGTGTCATTACATGCTAGAGTTTACAGAATATATTCCAACCTAAATATTTCTTAACTTTCCATTTTCAGGTGTAACAAAATGATTTATTGCCCTCATTCAATTCCTTCATTATTAATTGTGTGTGTTGAAATCATGTATCACACAGGGACAACGTGGTACTTTTTGAGCCCTATAGATTCTCAATAGGTTTCCCTAGTGGTTCATAATTTCCCTAGCCTTCATTTATTGTCTCAGAATGCAGGTCATCAAAACCCATAGATGTGAATATATTCAAACCCATTAAATGATCTTTTAGAAGATCATTTAGAAGATCTTTTAGAAGCTTTTTCAATGATATTTCTTTTTCTCCCTTTCTTCTTTCTTTTCTTTCTTCAAGGCACTTTGTAATTTTCAAAGAGGTGCCTGATGCTAGGGATACAAATAGGACCAGGATCTCACAGTGTTTGTTTCTTCCTTCTGAACAATATTTATAGCCCCACTATATTTTTTGTCATGATGATTAATTTGGAGTTATAAAACATGCGGTATTCAAATAGATACTTTTTCTGTAACATCTCGTATGCATCTTTCCCACCTATCTTATGATTAGGCAGCATTTCTTTTAATGCTCTCATATTCCTTATTATATATTTTATTTATTTATTTATTTATTTTTGAGTCAGACTCTCACTCTGTTGCCCAGGCTGGACTACAGTGGCACGTTCACAGCCACTGCCGCCTCTACCTGCTAGGCTCAGGTGATCCTTCTGCCTCAGCCTTCCAAGTAGCTGGAACCACAGGCATGTACCACCATGCTCAGCTAATGTTTTGATTTATTGTATAGATGAGGTCTTGCCAAGTTGCCCAGGCTGGTCTTGAACCCTTGGGCTCAGGCCACCCTCTTGCCTCAGCCTCCCACAGTGCTGGGATTACAGGCTGAACCACCACACCGACATATTCCTTATTATAAAATAAAAAGCCAAAGTTTCCCAGACCTCTTCCTATTACCTGTAGAAAATTTTATGCATATGCAAGTATTTTTTTCTACACAATCTTATACTATTCAAACTTGGTTTGCCTTCCTTTTTAAAAAAGCTTAGATGGCCTGGCTTGATGGCTCAGCCTGTAATCCCAGTACTTTGGGAGGCCAAAGCAAGTGAATTGCCTGAGCCTGCAAGTTTGAGATCAGCCCGCCAACTTGGCAAGACCTTGTCTCCGCAATAAATAAAAAATTAGCCTGGCGTGGTAGCACGTGCCTGTAGTTCCGGCTAATTGGAAGGTTGAGGCAGAAAGATCACCAGAGCACAGCAGGTCGACACTAGGGTGGCCATGAGCATGCCACTGCACCCCAGCCTGGATGATAAGTAAGACCCAACTCAAAAAACAAAACAAAAAACAAAACAAAAGTTTAGATAATGTATTTTAGAGCTCTTTCATTATCAGTACATAGAGGTCCACATAGCTGTACTATATTTCATTGTACAGATGTAAAATGATTTTATTTAGTTGGTAGACATTTTGTTTTTTTCAAATATTTTATTTAACCTGTGGATATTTAAGGTGTGTTGTATGTATTTGTGCATATGTGTCTTCAAACAATGCTGCAGTATGCATTCTTACGTTTCTATTTGTAATAATATATCTGTAGAATAAGTGCCTAGCAATGGACTTACTTGATTAAAGAATATATGGGTTTAAAAGTTTTATAGCTGCTACCAAATTGTCTCACAGATGGTAGCAGCTTACCTTTCTACAAGCAACATTTTCAATGCCTCTTTCCCCATAATCTTTACCAATACTGTGTTTTAGTAAAACTTTTTATTTTTTGCCAATATCATGGTTGAAAATATATGTCTTTATTGTTTTAATTTACATTTCTTTCATTATGAATTTGTGCAATTTTTCTTTTTTGAGTTAGAGTCTCACTCTGTTACTTGGGTTGGAGTGCAGTGGCATGCTCACAGCCACCATAGCCTCAGCCTTCCAAGTAGCTGGAACTATAGGGGCGAGCCACCACACCTAGCTAATTTTTTTATTTACTGTAAAGACGAGGTCTCACCAAGTTGCCCAGGATGGTCTCAAACTCCTGGCCTCAAGCAATTCTCCTGCCTCAGCCTCCCAAAGTGTGGGATTACAAGCATGAGCCTCTGTACCTGGCCTAGATTTTCCCTTCCTTTGCCTTCTTATTTTGCTTTAACTTTTCAGACTTAATCTGGAACTAAAAACCTGCTTATTTTGTAAATTGTCTTTGTGCCCAGAATTTTATAAAACACACCCTTGTGAATAAACATAGCCACGTATCATCAAGATACTTAAAAGCTGATGGGGGAAAATCAGAGCAGTTCAAACACCCTAGATCAGAGGTCCTCAAACTTTTAAAACAGGGGGCCAGTTCACTGTCCCTCAGAC